TTATAGTACTACTATATTATATATATATATATATACACACATACAAAAATGTAGGATATGTCCCTTTTTGACACATCATTTTACAGTACCCGTGCTATCATAACACATCATTTTACACTACCCATGCTATCATAACACATCATTTTACAGTACCCATGCTATCATAACACATCATTTTACAGTACTCATGTAAACAATATTTCGACCAGTTTACATGGGATTTAGTACAAAGATACTTTTTTACAGGTCCCAAACAGAGATATATACATATAATTTTGGAATTTTTGTATCTTGCTCAATTTTCTAGTGAGGAAGGCACAATTTGGGATTTTTGTGAACTGTTCATGTGTATGTCAACCAACTTGTCGCATTTGCCTGTGAATGTTGGCCTCTTTAATATACCTATTTTTGATTATTTCAACTACCGAAGTAATAAAAGTATTAAGTATTACTACTTCCTTTGGCACAAATATATACAGTGTGGTATTTTGCTGTTAACCAACAAAATAGAGAAGTTAGGCCCACTGATAATTGGAAATTTTCTGGCTTGGGTGGACATTTCCTAAAGAAACAAACAAGACACATGTACATGAAGAACAAATATTTAATGACAATTTTCACAATCAGAAATATGAATAAACAACACTACTAATACAATACACGCCAGTACAATACAGTGAGCAAGTTATTGCATGTGTGTGTATGCTTTTAAGCTTTAATTAGAAAGTATAGGACCAGCAAGAGCTAATAAAGACTTTAATAGGAAAACACATCTGTTGGTCCTTGTGTTCCCCCATGTAAGTTAAACTGATTAACATGAAACCACTAAGTAAAGATAACTCCAAGCTAAGTTAAAATAATTTCACTTTAATCTACATAAAATACACTAGAACTGAACCAAATCCTAAATTGAATTTCACTAACAAAATAACCTTACTCAAAAATGGCTTTAATAGTAACAGAGCCAATGTCCCATTAACTATGCTTCACACTTATAGGTGAAGCAAACTCAAACTCATTCATGAGCAGTGAACATAAACAACTCTGAAGTACTGGCAAGAACCTTATGGTGCTCACTATATACAAAAGTAAAAGGGTGAACACCTAATTCTGCAGAGAACTTTAGCATTTCTCTTAAATATAATGAAATTAAAATACTAACATGTAAAAATATACAGTTCTAATGCTAGAGTTGTTTCTACATTAAACAAGGGAAAAATATCAACTGAAACCTTTTGCTGAACAAATTAATAGAATTAAAATACACGTAGAAATTATCAAAAGTATT